GCCAGCACTGTGTAATGGTGGAGCTATAAATCGCGGCCATCTTAGAATTCTCCATTAGCCTCCGGTCATTCAAGAGAGACAGACCTGTGTGTATTAAGGGACAGAGTTAGGGCCACAGGGAATCGTTACTCAGGGCCACAGAATCGTTACTCAGGGCCACAGCTATCAAAGAATCGAAAATTTAAAGTGACATACACCCTTTTTTTTTTTTTGGTGGCTGTCGTGCACAGTTGGTGCTGCAGTTTGCCGATTGTGCAAAATAAACTGACTTTCTGCTTCACAACCACTATTGTACGTTCAAAGAGTTAAATCCATATACACGCCGGGTGGCGGTAATATTTTTTGGGTGATTAGTGCATTCCAGTGACATAAACGTACAGTTTCCAGCCAACGGCAAGCTGCAATTGACCGATTGTGCTAAATAAACTGACTTTCTGCTTCACAACCACTATTGTACGTTCAAAGAGTTAAATCCGGTTTTTATTTTTGGGGTGCTTATTGAATTAAAGAGTATGTCAGACAACACGCAGAGGAGTGGCAGAGGAGGCAATGTTTCAGGAGCGAGCAGACGTGGCAGCAGAGGAAGGGGTCGAGGCAGCACTAGTCGCAGCCAGAGGCCAGTGCTCCCGGTGTCATCCAGCGGTCGTGTCTCCACCGACAACCCTGCCGTCATCGATTGGTTGACTCGGTCGTCTTCCTCTTCCCAGGTCACCTCTGACACCTACAGCCAACGGTCGGTGGTACGTCAGACACAACCATTAGTTGGCATGGCCCGGGAGCAAGCCCACTGAAATCGCGTGTCCTCGACCTGCCCTGTCCTTTGGTGTTCCCAATCACCAAGCGAAGTATCGCATGCTGTGGGCTCAGCCCCACTGTACAGTGAGGAAGAGCTAACAGAGGGCGGTCAGGAACGGGGGGAGACATCCGCCTCTTCAGCAGCCAGGCGAAGAAGTACTGGCGAGGAGAGTGGCTCGGTAGCCGGTCTAGAGACAGGTCTGTCTCCTGACCCACACGCAGCCGAGGGGGCTAGTAGTGACGCGCGTGAGACCCTAATTGATGATGATGAGGCTGATCGCACTTGGCCGAGCCTCGTCGTCATCAGGCTATTGCTTCCGCATCATCAGGAGAAGAGGGTGCCAGCTTGCCAGCGAGCAAAACAGTCGGTGGGTTGCCCAGGAGGCAGCAGGGTCGCAGCAGTGTCAGTGGAGCCAAACGGCCACGGAGTAGAGCACCAGCTCCACTGCAGCCTACCACCACGGCCAGTATGTTGGTGCCGGTGTGCACGGAGGAAGTAGCAGTCAGCCATGAGGAGTAGCGGGGGCAAAGTTTCCTACTCGGCGGTGTGGCAATTTTTCGTCAAGCTGCTGAGGAAGTAAACGTAGCCGTATGTCGACTATGTGGCCAGAAAGTCAAGCGTGGCCAGGGGGCCAATGTTGGGACTACAGCGTTGCGGCAGCATATGCAGCGTCGCCATTCGGTGGCCTGGGAAAACCGTGATAAAGATACGGCGGTTCTGCCTGCCCCAGCCCCCGCTCCATCACCCGCTCAGTTACTTGCGCCGTCACCCGACGTCAATCGCCCTCTATCAGCCAGTCAAGGCTCCAACACCTCTCTGCTGAGGGGAGTTGTCGCTCGTTGGCATCTTCCGCTCGTTCAGATGCTCCTTCTCCTGCTACTCCTCTTCACGGATTCCGTCAGCAGTCTTTCTTGGAATCCGTTTCCAAGAGACAACAGTTTGCGAGCACGCAAACCCGACGGTGCAGAAGCTGAACGTCCTCCTGTCCCAAGTTGCTAGTGCTGCAGTCCCTCCCTTTCCAAGTGGTGGACTCAGCACCTTTCCGAGAAATGATGGCTTGTGCCGAGCCGCGGTGGAGAGTGCCAAGCCGGCATTTCTTCGCCAAAAAGGCAGTGCCAGCCCTGCATTCACATGTAATGAAGAGATGGTGGGCCAGTCTTTGAGCATGTCGGTCTCTGCCAAAGTGCACGCAGCGCCGACGTGTGGAGCTGTAACTACGGTCAGGGACAGTACATGTCCTTTTACGGCCCACTGGAAGGTGAACGTGCGAGGTACCGGCACAGCCGCTCCAGCAACTTGGACAGGTCATGCCGCTTTTGCCTCCACGTTTGCACGTCCTTGGTCCGGCAAAGATGTCCGCCTCTACCACCTCTTCTTCCGCCGTGTCCTCAGCCGCCCACCACGCGTCCCCCGTGCCAAGTCCCATTACCCGACCCGGCAAAATATCACATGTGCAGGGCGCAACGGTGTCACGCTGTGCTGCACCTGGTATGCCTTGGCGAGCGTAGTCACACAGGGGAGGAACTTCTGAGTGTAATGAACAGAGAAATCGACAGATGGCTGTCTCCGCGCAAAACTGAAAATCGGAACCATGTTGACCGACAACGGAAAGAACATGGTGTCTGCTCTGCGGCAAGGAAGGTTGTGGCCATGCATGGCTCACGTGTTCAATCTGGTTTGTTCAAAGCGGTTCCTAAAATCCACCATCCCACTGCAAGACATCCTTTAAAATGTCACGTAAACTTTGCATGCATTTCAGCCATTCCTACACCGCAAAGCACACCCTCCTTGAGCTGCAGCGGCAGAACGGAATTCCACAGCATCGCCTGATCTGCGACGTTTGCAACAAGGTGGAATTCAACCCTACTCATGTTAGACCGCCTTTATGAACAGCGAAAGGTCATCACCGATTTCCTGATGTTACAAGCGGATAAAGGTACTCCCCTGTGTAACTTAGATGTCAGCCATTGGCAGCTCATGCGTGACACCTGCCGCTTGCTCAGGCCCTTTGAGGAGGCCACGCTATTCGTGAGTCGGCAGGACTATGGATGAACGACGTCATTCCTCTGTTTGCACGTCCTGGAACAAATGCTGTTAACAAGGGCTGGTCAGGGTGTTCGGTAGACGTGGCGCACAGATCTCAACGCCACATGACCCCTGTGGGGGGACAGGAAGAAGAGGAGGAGGTAGAGGAGGACATTGGTGCTCAGGAATTATTGAGTGAAATGGGTGGTTTTTCCACTCAGCGGACAGGAGTGGAGGAGCAGGAGCATCTGGTAGAGGAGGAGGAGGAGGAGACAGAGGACCCAGACGCACCGTGGCAGTATGCTGTGGAGATGGAGGCAGGGAGTCCCTCGCATTCCTTGGCACAAATGGCCCATAGCATGCTCGGTTGCTTGCGTAGCGACAGCCGAATAATAACCATCAGACAGAGGGATGACTTTTGGCTGTCCACCTTGTTGGACCCTCGCTACCGTTCAAAAATGGTGGCCTTTTTCACACCTGCTGAGAGGGAGGCCAAAATAAAGTACTATAAAAACCACCTATGTAGTCAGTTGGTCTCTGCCTTTGTGCGCCAACGTCCATCCTCAGACACTGTGGGCCCTGTGCGCCTCGCGTTCCGCTGCCATGGCAGGAGGGGTGGGGTGTTATGTAGGAGCAGTGGCAGCTCCACCAGCAGCGGCTGCCTCAGTCTGCAGTCGATGATGAGTAGCTTTCTTCACCAGCGCAGTGAGGAAACTACTAACCAGCCCCGCAGCAGCAGCAGGTGGACCTGGAGGCAGGACCTCAAACAACAGGCTTGGGCCTACTTGGACAGCACCCAGCCAACCGAGGTAGACAATCCCCTTGACTACTGGGCAATGAAACTTGACCTTTGGCCCCAACTAGCTGAATTTGCCCTTGAAAGGCTGTCATGCCCCGGCCAGTAGCGTGGCATCGGAGCGCGTGTTTAGTGCGGCAGGAGGTATTGTAACTCCGCGGAGGACACGACTGTCCACCCAAAGTGTGGAGAGACTCACGTTTGTGAAAATGAATCAGGCGTGGATTAGTCTGGATTTCAAACCACCAGTTCCTGACACAACTGACTAAATCCGCCATGAATCATGCCCCAAACATGTTATTAGGGACAAATGGAAGACCTCCACCTGATCCGTACATTTGTGTATATATATTTTATTGAGAGGCTGCTGGTCGGCCGACTCATGTTTTGCACATTTTTAATGACTTATACTCTGCAGGTCGGGCCCCTCATGAATTGGGGTTTTTAAATTATTTATACTTCGCTGGACGACCGTCACATGAATTGAACCTTTTTTAATGACTTATACTCTGCTGGTCGGTAGCCCCTCATGAATTGGTGTTTTTAAATTTATTTATACGTCGCTGGACGACTGTCACATGAATTTAAACTTTTTAATTATTTATAGTCGACCAGTTCCAGACCGATGGAATAGCAATTTTTTAAAATATTTATTTGACACGTGTTGTCCATCTCATCAATGAGGTGGACTGTTTATTTATTGGCCACGGTTTTGGCCCCCTCCTGTTTCTTACATTAACTTGTTGTATCAGTCACGGTTTGGCCACATGTTTGGTTTTGTCTTGTTAAGATTTTCTGTAATGTACACAGTTACGCTTGACTTGTCGACTTTCCACAATCTACTAAGGTATAGCATCGCATCAAAGGGCTTTTTTTTTTTTTTTTTTTTTTTTTGGTCTAAACCATTTCTTATAATGTCAATTTGTAGGATACGCCGCTGTAAGGCGACCTACTTTTTTGTCACTGTGTAGACATCTATTTATAGGCCGATGTTTGGCCAGAAAGATATATATTTAGTAATAACCTAGCCATTCAAGCCGCTCACTGAACACCTCGGGAATTGCTTTCTATATGTGTTGCCTTTGAGGCCGCTGGCTGGACAGCTGATGAATTGATTTGTATATATGTACTTATTGTCCGCTGTCCGGACAGCTCATGAATTACTTTTTGTATATAGCCTTCCAAACCACTCTCAGAATAAGTCATGATATTCATGCTGTGTATAGCCTTATAGGCCAATAGTCAATCAAGTCATGATTGTTATAGTGTGTGTATAGCCTTATAGGCCGCTGTCTTTACAACTTTATAATTCCATGCAGTATATAGCCCTATCGGCCACTTTCTGGCATCCAGTTGCTGTAGCCCCCATCACCACACTGTGCCACGGGCCCCTGTACCGCCTTCTCATACTGCTGCCAGATCCATCCTCTGCCATGTGCGTCTTTGTCGTCTGCTCACGCTGCTGGGTTCCAGTTTTAAACCTAGGCCTGTGTATGGCTTCCGTATACTGCTGCCTCCACCGCCACCCTGCGCCATGTGCCTCTGTCGTCTGCTCACGCTGCTGATGGCTTCCGCTTTTTAACCTAGTCCTGTGTATGGCTTCCGAATACTGCTGCCTCCACCGCCACCCTGCGCCATGTGCCACTTTTGGTCTCCTCACACTGCTGCCAGGTCCATACTGATTCATGGCCCCCTGTACCGGCTCCTCATGAACGTGGTTCAGCGGGTTTGCATCACTTAACGGCAAATCGTTGACAAACGCTGGGACGTTCAGTGTTGTGCGCATTAAGCCAGACACCAAAGGGCAGCACAGACCTGTTATTACTCGCTCAAGCATGGCTGAACAAAACCAGTCTCTACCACAAATTGGACCCAGACCTGCCCAGGGTCTCGTAAGTAGATTGCACGGAGGAGTAGAGTCCGTTATCGGAATTAAATAGACAAAACGCCACACCAAAAAAGAGTGGCCATTTCCAACACTTATTCCAGAAAGAGGAACAACCCGTTTCATATACGGCCCGTAGACGTTTCACGTCTGCCACATTCAGTCGATTTAAGACGCAAGCTCCACTTCCTGTGGTCTCTGACCGTCGATATACCTTTAAGTGTCAGCTTTGAAGCTATATTCCCTCCGGAGCACTGACACTGGTGCCCTTCCGTCAACATGCCTTTAAGTTTCAGTTTTCAACCATATTCCCCACAGAAGCAAACTCTTGGGTATCCCAGAAGCTGCTCAGCGGGTCAGGGCAATAAAGCTCCCGGTTCGCAGGTTGTTCCGTCTTATGATGGAAGTACGACGGTATATGATCTTCTTCGCACCCACGGCATCACCTCATAAAATTTCTGCATTGCATCTGCAATCACAACGCTGACTTCCCGGATCGCCACTCAGCCATTGGACTCTTGATAGTCGTCTTCCCACACTGCTGCTGGGGGGACTTTTTAACCTAGGCCTGTGTATGGCCTTCAATTGAAGCTGCTTCCGCTCCGCCACTCTGCCATGGGCCCCTGTACCGCCTCCTCATGCTGCTGCCAGGCCCGTAATCTGCCATGGGCCCCCGTACCGACTCCTCATGCTGCTGCCAGGCCCGTAATCTGTCATGGGTCCCTGTACGGCCTCCCATTGCTGCTGTCTCCATCGCCACACTCTGCCATGTGCCACTTTCAGGTCTCCTCACACTGCTGGTGGGTTCCATTTTGTCATAGGGTGCTGTATGGCCTCCCATTGCTGCTGCCTCCACCGCCACACTGTGGCTCCACACTCTGGTTTTGGCCCCGTGACTGCCCAAATGAGTGAAGTGTGCGGTGATTCTAAGATCGACGGCACTCATCTGCATGTCATACTGACTGACAGTATTATTTCTCTTCCCCAGCAGACTCCAAGGGCATTTAAATTAAAGGTACAGTGTTCTGCACTAATATAAAGGCTCTCTGAAGCCTAGAAACACCCTTTTTATAAGTTAAATTCGCAGCGAATATATTCGGCTCGAAGCGAATTTATTCCGCGAATTCGGCGAATCAGCCGAACCAAATTTTTGAATAATTCGCTCATCTCTAGATAATAGACAGAAAGATATTGCATGGATGAGTGTGCATGGATGTTTACCCACGAGAGAGTTTCAGAGGAGAAGAGATTGGTTGACAGTGAAGTATGTCCGAGAGAGGGGTGTGGTAGGATTGAAAGGGTGGCGCATGTTTTTTGGGAATGTAGTTTTGTTAGGAAAGTATGGAAAAAATGGTGGAAGGGGCTGACTGGGATTGTGAGAATGACGTATGAAACGGTTTTGTATGGGTTGAGTAATGTGGGGAGGGAGGAGGAAAGAGTGTTGTGGATAATTGTGAATTGTGTGAAAGAATGCTTGTGGGATGTGCGTAATATTTTGGTTTTCAGACAAGAAAGAGTGGATGTGAAAAATTGTGCGGCCATGGTCCGTGGAAAGATTTATAACTACGCATATTTCGATTTTAAAAAACGAGGAGAAATGGAAGCAAAAGCCATCTGGAAAACTCAAGAGTGGAAGAACTGGTGTACATAGGATACTTTTCTGAAGTGTTTTTGTACAGTTGTTTTTCTTGGTTCTTGTATATAATTATTTTTGATTTTGTGTGGGGGTTCTGTTGGATATGGAGGGAGGAAGGGAGGAGGAGGTGAGCGAAGTTATGTAAAAAATGGGGGTGAGTGTGGGTTTTGTGGATTTTTTGAATATTGGTTTTGTATGGTTAGGCTTGGTGGGGTGGAATTGCATATGTAATAAGGGGGAGGATGGTATAGGAGGGATTATGTAAATGTATTTTCTCTGGGTTGTTGGTATATGGTTAGTTTGTATTATATGTAAGGGGGTGGGAGGAGGGGGGGGGAATAGGGGATGTGATGATGTGATATATGGTGATGGGTTTTGATTGTGGGTGGTTTTTGTATGTAATAAAGGGGAGGGTTTTGTGGGAGGGGATATGTAAATGCTGTTTTGTATCTGATGTGAAGATTTAATAAAAAAAAAAAAAAAAATCTTGGCCTTTTGGCTGCGATCCTAGGATTGCGGTTAGAAGGCAGGTAGTAAGGTGACCAGTGCTTTTTGCCTTGGAGGGTATTCCCAAGCCTTCCATGCTGCCATTAGGAGTTACGCTCACCTGAACCCGTTCGAGGGGGATCGCCGGACCGAACCTTCCCTTAGGGGTTGGTGAACGTCTGGAGACCTTGTTGCTGTGGAGGTATGCCGTTCATACCGTCCGATGCGCCAAACACCATTCGGGTGTGTGTCAGAGAGGATCGAAGAGGAGACTGTGGCCTTTACTACTTGCAGAAACGCATTGTGATGGATCTTCTCGCTATGCCTTTGGATTCTATTTTTTGTGTACAGGCATTTCCAACGAGCGGCTTTTTTGATTTTTCCTTTTTTACTGCCACTGATATCCAGACGTGCATGTTGAGAAGCCGGGAAAAGGCGGAGGATCCTTTGATGGATGGGCTCACATTCCTGAGCAATGATTATAGACGGAGAATACCTCTTACGCTGCAGATGTACAATCCATTTGTTAGAGAAGAGGAGATCCATGCTTTTCTGAACAGATATTGTTCATCAGTGTCCTCTGGTATGAAACAAACTAACATTCTTGGCACATTTAATGGGCAGAGGAGGTACTATATACAGCTGCGGAAAGATGATGGGGGGTATTGGGGGTTGCGTCCATCCCCCCCAGGCCTTTTCCATCGGAGCCAATCGAGGAGTATTATGGTATCCAGGACAGCCACAATTTTGCCGAAATTGCTTCTCCTTTGGGCACACCCGAGACAGTTGTGAGGCAGGCATAACTTGCAGAAATTGTTTCCAGCAGGGTCACGGAACTGCCGAGTGTCCTGCAGGCCGTAAATGCCATCTATGTGGAGGGGGGGGGGGGGACCACCTGGCCCGGGCATGTCCAAACCTTGCGGGGTTTTCCAGAGACTTGGGACATCAGGTGGTGGTGGCTGCTCAGGAGAGTGGTGTATCTTATGCTGATGTGGCCAGCGGGTCAGTTCAGGTTGGCCAGGCTGCAGTCTCCATGAGTGAAAGTGAACCACCTGTGGAGTCCAAGCCCGATGAAGCTGTGGGGGAGTCACAGGCCCCTGTAGTGGAGGCTGGAATGTCTTGACACTACTGCAGTGGAGGGTGGTGGGGCGGGTCCGGGTCCTCCTGGAGAAATGGACCTTTCATGTGACACCTTAAAGAGGAGGAAGGTGGAGGAGGCAAGTTCTCAGGTGATCACTGAATTTGCCAGTTCAGATGTGGAATCAGACTCATCTATACGGTCTACAGAATCCTTCGCTAGTAGTGGAAAAGTTGAGAATCTACAAAGTGTGATGGGTTTTGCCCGGCCAAGGTCAGCCCCTAGTGGAATGGAGACACGGAGCAAGATGGAAGGGGGGGTCAGGGCTTAGGAGTTCTGGGCGGAAATGTAAAGGGAAAAAGTCTTGATACCTGATATGTTTCTGCTTGCTTAAATGTGTTTTTTTTTTCCTCCCTTTGCTAGATTTTGAATGCCAGTAAACATATCCTCTCTTAATGTGAGAAGCTTACAGGCGGCACCTAGGAGAACTGCAATCCTAAAGTATTTATCGTTGCTGCCAAGCAAAATCCTGTGTTTACAGGAGTGTAATTTAAGAGAGGAACCCCTACCTGAAGAATGGCCGCATGGCCCTGCTATATGGTCTAGGGGGTTGGAGGGGAATGCCGGGATAGGTATTCTGTTTAGAGGCTGGCGTTTCAAAGTAACAAAATGTATACATATTGTTAGAGGGCGGGCGGTTCTGTGTGTGTAGTGGAGGGGGATGGTTTGAGGTTTAAATTAGTTAATGTCTATGCATCTCCAAAAAAGCAAGAGCGTCTGGCCTTGCTGGAGAAATTTAGTTTTTTTTTGGGTGGCCGGGACCCTACAATTATTGTAAAGGATTTTGTGTGTTGGAAGGGCGGGACAGGGTGGGAAGGGGGTGGGGTGGGAGTGGGGGTTGAAAGGGGTGGAGGGAATCCAGGGGGGGAGGGGGAGTGGTGGTGGGGATATAGATAGGTCAGGCAAGCTCCTTGCGGAGCTGTGCCAGGAGTTTGGACTAATGGATGTTGGAAGAGACAAGGGTCATACCTACTTTTCTATTATTTATATATATATATATATATATTTATATATATATATATATATGCAGTGCAGCGCTGTGATATATTTTTAAAATTAAAATAGTTCATAAAGTCTTTGTCACAATAATAACATCAAATATGTGCAGGCCTTCTCCTCATTAGGTGACTGGAATCGGATAGTAAAAATGCGCACTCACCGACCGCACATTTTAAATGCGCCTGTGTGTAATGTTATCCAGAAGACCAGCCAGTCATGCAGCTCCAGAAAGCACATGGATCCCCCTCTTAAGCGCTGACATCAACCTTGGGTGTAGCAATGCCTCCAGATCCAGAGACCCTCTCGCCCCCAATGATAGGTAGACCGGGATCCCCCTTCTGGTTCCAGGTACCCCAAAAATGGAAGGTGTAGATCTGCAACCCTCCAACAGGAGAGTCAAGGAAAAAAAAAGGGGAACGCCAATAGTGTGGTAGGTTCAAAAATCTTTATTGGAGCAACACTCATACAGCCAGGGTCACATGTGCATACATACACTATTAGCCAGTAAGCGGACAGGTAAGTATGAGAACAAAAAAACTTGTACTAACCCGGCAGTGGTAAAGATCAGAGACCACTGGACCTCCTCGTGGTCTCAGTGGTCAGGAAGTCACACTTGCTAATGGCTCCTCCTGAGGCCTTTCGTGCTAAATGCACTTCATCAGAGGATAGACGCCACTAGCAGTGTGACAGCAAGACTTCCTTTTAAATGCGGTTCGCGCATGCGCGAAAAAATCCGCTCTATCGTCCGGAGTCCGAAAAGCGGTACTGCGCATGCGCGAATAGCCGCCATTTTGCCGTGGATCGCAGCCGTGCAGTATCAAACTGCATAGCCTGCTGTTTTAAAATCCATGGCAATATGGTGGCGATCGGGCGGCGCATGCGCAGATTAACAGCTGCTGCCTGAGAAATAGAGAGATAAGCACATATTCAAATGTTAGTTCCCCATAGATGGTACTAGAGGGATGGATAATCCTATTACCGAGGTATGCATATACCACACCTCCACAAATAAAGAGGCCCAACATTGAGTCACTTGTTCGAATACAAAATATGTGGAATGCACCAATAAGGTGCTGAAAAAAGCCCGAAGCCCTCTTTATAATGGTTATTATACCCATGGCATAGGGGCTATAGTCGGTTACCCATAGATGAAAATATAAAAGTAAATATAAACGTAATTATCAAACCATGAGAAATAAACATTACAAATCATGAGAAATATACATTAAAAAGTCCCAAAATCGCATATAGACATCTTAAAAAAGGTGCACCTCTACTGAATTGGGGCATAATCTATTAGCGTAATAAAAAAAACCAAAATTATGGGTCATAATATCCTGGTACCCTGTAATTGTATACAAAGGGCTGATGTAAAAAAGAGGTGTTAATTACACAGACTTAATAGTTCTATAATAAGGAAAATATCCCATTTCACCATTTATAGCTCTCTACGTTATCCAAGACTAGAGAGGCCCATCTAGGTGCTGCGTACAAAGGTACATTGGTAGGACCATAAACAAACCTTAAAATTATCTCTAAAAATCTAAAAAACTAAAAATCTGCACTACACTATATCCCGAAATAATGGGAGAAATATCCATGTCCTAGCTATTGGCAATAAAGCAATTGATATCCACCTCCACATTGTGTCCATGAGGGTAAAGAGTGCGTAATTCATAGACCCAACGGGGGTCTATGAATTACGTATACCTACCTTTCTGCTGGCGGTACAGTGAGTTCTCGAATTGATTTTTTTTTGTCTTCCAGGGATATTTCTTCA